AGTGGAAAAGAATCTTTCCTCCGTAAGCCATGCGTGTCGTATGAGGCGACTAAAATGCCGGGAGCAATGGGCTAGTAGCCCCTTCTCCTGTAGACATTTACTAAAAAAGAGAAGAAGAAAAACTTTATAAAACTGGGATGCTTGAATGTGCGTGGATGTAGTGCGGATGACAAGAAACAGATGATTGCTGATGTTATGAGTGAAAAGAAGTTGGATGTCCTGGCCCTTAGTGAAACAAAGCTGAAGGGGGTAGGGGAGTTTCGGTGGGGGGAAATAAATGGGATTAAATCTGGGGCATCTGAGAGAGAGCTAAGGAAGGGGTAGCAATAATCTTGTAGGATCAGTTATATAAGGAGAAGAGAGAGTATGAATGTGTAAATTCAAGGATTATGTGGATTAAAATAAAGGTTGGATGCGAAAGGTGGGTCATAATGAGCGTGTATGCACCTGTACAAGAGAGGTGTGTAGAGGAGAGAGAGAGATTTTGGGAGATGTTAAGTGGATGTATAGTAACTTTGAACCAAATTAGAGAGTAATTGTGGTAGGGTACCCGAATGCTAAAGTAGGAGAAACTTTTAGAGAGGGTGTGGTAGGTAAGTTTGGGGTGCCAGGTGTAAATGATAATGGGAGCCTTTTGGATTGAACTTTGCATAGGAAGGGGTTTAGTTATAGGTAATACATATTGTAAGAAAAAGAGGATAAATAAGTATACAAGATATGATGTAGGGCGAAATGACAGTAGTTTGTTGGATTATGTATTGGTGAATAAAAGACTGTTGAGTAGACTTCAGGATGTACATGTTTATAGAGGGGACACAGATTTATCAGATCACTTTTTAGTTGTAGCTACACTAAGAGTAAAAGGTAGATGGGATACAAGGACAATAAAAGCATCAGGGAAGAGAGATGTGAAGGTTTATAAACTAAAAGAGGAGGCAGTTAGGGTAAGATATAAACAACTGTAGGAGGATAGATGGTCTAATGAGAGCATAGGCAATGGGGTCGAAGAGGTATGGGGTAGGTTTAAAAATGTAGAGTTAGAGTGTTCAGGAGAAGTTTGTGGTTATAGGAAAGTGGGTGAGGGAGAGAAGAGGAGCGATTGGTGGAATGATGATGTAAAGAGAGTAGTAAGGGAGAAATAGTTAGCATATGAGAAGTTTTTACAAAGTACAAGTGATGCAAGGAAGAAAGAGTATATGGAGAAAAAGAGAGAGTTGTGAAGAAATGTAAAAAGAGAGCAAATGAGAGAGTGGGTGAGATGTTGTCAAAATATTTTGTTGAAAATAAGAATGGAGAGTTAGAGGTATTGGGAAGATGGAGGGAATAGCTTGAGGAATTGTTAAATGTTGATGAAGATAGGGAAGCTGCGATTCAGTGTATAGAGCAAGGAGGAATAACATCTTATAGGACTGAGGAAGAGCCAGTTGTGAGTGTGGGGGAAGTTCGTGAGGCAGTAGATGAAATGAAAGGGGGTAAGGCAGCTGGGATTGTTGGGATAAAGAAAGAAATGTTAAAAGCAGGTGGGGATATAGTTTTGGAGTGGTTGGTGCAGTTATTTAATAAATGTATGGAAGAGGGTAAGGTACCTAGGGATTGGCAGAGAGCATGCATAGTTCCTTTGTATAAAGGCAAAGGGGACAAAAGAGAGTGCAAAAATTATAGGGGGTTCAGTCTGTTGAGTATACCTGGTAAAGTGTATGGTAGAGTTATTATTGAAAGAATTAAGAGTAAGACGGAGAATAGGATAGCAGATGAACAAGGAGGCTTTAGGAAAGGCAGGGGGTGTGTAGACCAAGTGTTTACAGTGAGACATACAAGTGAACAGTATTTAGATAAGGCTAAAGAAGTTTTTGTGGCATTTATGGATTTGGAAAAGGCGTATGACAGAGTGGATAGGGGGGCAATGTGGCAGATGTTGCAGGTGTATGGTATAGGAGGTAGGTTACTGAAAACAGGGAACAGTTTTTACGAGGATAGTGAGACTCAAGTTAGAGTATGTACGAGAAAGGGAGATTATTTCCCAGTAAAAGTAGGCCTTAGACAAGGATGTGTGATGTCACCGTGGTTGTTCAATATATTTATAGATGGGGTTGTAAGAGAAGTAAATGCGAGGATCCTGGCAAGAGGCGTGGAGTTAAAAGATAAAGAATCACACATAAAGTGGGAGTTGTCACAGTTGCTTTTTGCTGATGACACTGTTCTCTTGGGAGATTCTGAAGAGAAACTGCAGAGGTTGGTGGATGAATTTGGTAGGGTGTGTAAAAGAAGAAAATTAAAAGTGAATACAGGAAAGAGTAAGGTTATGAGGATGACAAAAAGATTAGGTGATGAAAGATTGGATATCAGATTGGAGGGAGAGAGTATGGAGGAGGTGAATGTATTCCGATATTTAGGAGTGGACGTGTCAGCGGATGGGTCTATGAAAGATGAGGTGAATCATAGAACTGATGAGGGGAAAAGGGTGAGCGGTGCACTTAGGAGTCTCTGGAGACAAAGAACTTTGTCCTTGAAAGCAAAAAGGGGAATGTATGAGAGCATAGTTTTACCAACGTTCTTATACGGGTTTGAAGCATGGGTAATGAATGGTGCAGCGAGGAGAAGGCTGGAGGCAGTGGAGATGTCATGTCTGAGGGCCATGTGTGGTGTGAATATAATGCAGAGAATTCGTTGTTTGGAAGTTAGGAGGAGGTGCGGGATTACCAAAACTGTTGTCCAGAGGGCTGAGGAAGGGTTGTTGAGGTGGTTCGGACATGTAGAGAGAATGGAACGAAACAGAATTACTTCAAGAGTGTATCAGTCTGTAGTGGAAGGAAGGCGGGTTAGGAGTAGGCCTAGGAAAGTTTGGAGGGAGGGGGTAAAGGAAGTTTTGTGTGCGAGGGGCTTGGATTTCCAGCAAGCATGCGTGAGCGTGTGTGATAGGAGTGAATGGAGACAAATGCTTTTTAATACTTGACGTGCTGTTGGAGTGTGAGCAAAGTAACATTTATGAAGGGATTCAGGGAAACCGGCAGGCCGGACTTGAGTCCTGGAGATGGGAAGTACAGTGCCTGCACTCTGAAGGAGGGGTGTTAATGTAGCAGTTTAAAAACTGTAGTGTAAAGCACCCTTCTGGCAAGACAGTGATGGAGTGAATGGTGGTGAAAGTTTTTCTTTTTCGGGCCACCCTGCCTTGGTTAATAAAAAAATAATATATATATATATATATATATATATATATATATATATATATATATATATATATATATATATATATATATATATATATATAATATATATATATATATATATATATATATATATATAATATATATATATATATGTCGTGCCGAATAGGCAGAATTTGCGATCTTGTCTTAAATAGCAACTCTCATCTTACCATATAGGACAAGTGAAAATTTGTGTATGCAATAATTTCGCCAAAATCATTCTGAACCTAACGAAAAAAATATATTTCACTGTGTTTGTTTAGTATTAAATTTCTGTAAACAAATCTAAAATATATATAGTTGGGTTAGGCTAAAATAAATTGTTCTTGTTATAATAAGGTTAGGTAAGTTTTCTAAGATTCCTTTGGTGCAAAATTAAATTTTTTTACATTACCATTAATGAAAAAAATATATCTTTAAACGTATAAGAGAAAATTTTAGAAAGGACTTAATTTTAAATGAGTTCTTGCTAATTGACCAGTTTTACATATTCGTCACGACATATATATATATATATATATATATATATATATATATATATATATATATATATATATATATATATTATATATTAATACTAATATTGTTTTATAATGTTTTGTTAGGCGTTAATATTAAGTGATTTAGTGGGAAACCATTAGTTAGAGTACCGGTTAATAGTTCAGGTACTGGTCTGTCTCCCTCAGTCACGTGATCTAACCTGACGTCAGCTTACCGCTCATTGGTACAGTCAGTAAGTTCACAACACTCACTCTCTGATTTCTAAGAGTTCTCTCTTCATATACATATCCCTTACACGGGATTATCGATAAAACTTCCTGTATGGATAATTTGAATTTAATGTCTCTGTGAAGACATTTATAAGGGTTGTGTTAGCAACTATCATTTACTTCATGTCATATATTGATTGCCTAACTCTATTACTGGGAATTATGTCTTCCCAGTAAACTTTTGTCTCCTAACAATAGCAGTGTATATATAACTATCCTTTGTGCAAAGGAAAAATGTAATTTTATTGCTCTTTATTAAGATTATGGTTCATATAGATATGAAGATCCTATATAAGTTTTATTACTATTAAAGACACGGATTTTACTAGTCTAGATCATCCTACAGAAAGAAGGTTAACAAAGAAAGTCTTTGGTTAACACTAAAACCTTGTTGCTATTGGAGTTCTACCCAATAGCCAACGTAGCAACTGATACCCTATCAAGGATCAGAGGACTAATGTTACACTCTGTGCACCGCAACACTTGGTCTACACTCCCCCTACCTTTCATGAAACCTCCTTGTTCATCTGCTATCCTACTCTCTGTCTTACTCTTAATTCTTTCAATAATAACTCTACCATACACTTTACCAGGTATACTCAACAGACTTATAAACTACGAATTATAAAATTTAATTGCCCAAAAGAAACCTACACTCTATAATAGCAATCCCAACCTTCTATTGAGTAGGAAATACCACTGTTGAAAATTTGAGAACAATTAAACGTGTCTTCCTGACGTGATTTTACGGGAAACAAAATCAGGAAAGGGATAAATATAAATGATAAAATAGTACTTGAACTTGCCCCGGTGGCCTGGTGGTTAACGCTCTCGCTTCACACGGTGAGAGCCTGGGTTCGATTCCCAGCCAGAGTAGAAACATTGGACGTGTTTCTTTCCACCTGTTGTCTATGTTCCCCATCAGTAAAATGGGTACCTGGGTGTTAGTCGACTGGTGTGGGTCGCATCCTGGGACACTGACCTAAGGAGGCCTGGTCACAGACCGGGCCGCGGGGGTGTTGACCCCCGGAACTCTCTCCAGGTAAAGAAAATGAGTTTATTTTGCCTTAGTTACAATACAACTTACTTACAGTTTTATAACTGTTCGTGTCAGGCCTCTCAAATTATGAACGAGAGAGAGCCTTGGAGAAGAATGAACCAAAAATTCTTTCTGTCTCTCATATATCCCCTTTGGGGATACCTAATAATAACTTGCCGCATGTTAATCATCTTACATCTGTTATTCTTGTTCACCTATCTGTAAACAGGTACCTATGTGTTAGTCTCTGTACTTGCTTTTCCTGTCGTAAATAGATCACTGGCGTCATTCTTATTACATCTATGAAGGTCCGGGCACAATCTCCTTACACATTTTGCCCGTTTTCCTACTAGTAAATAAGTATAAGGGTGTTGATCTTCTATCTCCTATTTTCCCTGTTCACCTAGCAGTAATTAGGTGTCTGGGTGTTAGTCTCCTTACACCACTTATCCTTGTTCACCTACAAATAAAGAGGTATCTAGGTGCTAGTTGTTGTACAGTTCCTGTTCATGCTCAATTGAAAGTAATTAGGTATCTAGGTTTAGTCTTCTTAAATCTGTTGCACCTGTTTAAATATTTGAGTGTTAGTTTTCATTGACCTCTTCATCTTATTCACCTAGCAGTAAATGGATATCAGTTTATGGTCATTCCCCCTCTCGCCCCTCTCACCTAAAAGAAAACGAGAATCTTTTTGTTAGTCGTCTTATGCGTTTTATTCTGTTTCACCCAGTAGTAAATAGGTATCTGTTTTTCAGTATCCTAGGACCTAGAAGTAGGTACCTATTTTTTAATCGACTTAACTGGGTGGCTCTGCGATGGCTGTGAACTGAAGTTTGTAAAGAAGTTTAAACACTCACCTTGTCGACAGTTTTGAACCAGATAGATGGGTGCAGTGGTTGGTGTCACATCTATGAATGGTGACATATCTTCCACAAGTGTGTTTGGGCACATCACGTAACTTCCGTTTATAACCAACCTTTTGTTCTCGACAGATATATTGATGTGCTGCCAGTCAAAATCAATTTGGCTTTCGAAATATCCAATTAGACTTGACTCGGTGATTTGGTCGTTAATGTAGCACTCCATAAGTGAGTCATTTGAAGATGAGAGCTTCACAGATAAGATGGCTTTGCCGTGTTTAGAGTAAAGAGAAATATTGAGTCCAGTGAGAACCTGATGTGTTGGCTCTATAGGAAGGAAACCCAGCACGAACGCGTCTTCTCTGAAGTGGTACTTTGGCGAAGAGTCATTCTGCATGACGTACTTCACTATACAGTCTGTTGGAGAAAATATTAATAAGTTCACCACAGAAAGAAAACGTTATTTATAGACAACCCGTTCGCATTATACACGTTATCATTCACATAGATATAACCATCTAAATTTCTCAGTTTACATTTATGAATATTTTTGATATTAATGATGTAAAATACCGACACCATGGAAAAATAAGCAAAATGCAATATAATGCGATTCTTCACTGACTACGTTTCGCCCACATAGTGAGCATTATCAAGTCATAAACATATGGGGTTGACTTCATTAAGTCCACTGTGTGGGCGAAATGTAGACAATAAAGGATCGCATTATAGCTTACTGCATTTGTCTAATTTTCCATGAAAATTATTTTTGTAAATTAGGTGAGAAAAGGGTTGGGCAGGACTCTTTAACCTGTATGAACGTGTATTTAACCATAAATATGAAAAATAAAAGGAAACAGAATTTCTCCGTCTTGCAGTGGGGTTTTTGCTTAAAGAACGAGATGGGGAAGCCTGAGCTTCCTTACTCTTGATCCAGGGTGCTGGAGATATTCTTCCTCTTCAAGAAGGAAATATAATTACCATTATTTTTCTAGTGTAACATGACCCAGTCAAGTTTAACCTTTACCCATTAGTAGAATAATGATAGATATATTAATAATAGTTACATATAATAATAAAATAATAATATTATTATAATTACTTTTATTGATATTATTATTATTATTATTATTATTATTATTATTATTATTATTATTGCTATTGTTGTTTTCTGCTTATATCATTGTTATAGTATATATTCTACATACACTTAAACTGTCAGTGTAACTGCACTTGTCTTTTCCTAATACTAAGATATTTTGCAACATTGTACACTCCTCTGTACGGTTGCAAAGGTAGAGTCTCAGTTCCTGGCCCCGAGTCTTACTGTTCCTGAAGCTGATTATAGGTTCCTCCTTTCCTTCTTCATCAACATCATTCCACTTCCTGAACAATCATAGGCTTCAACAACATGTCCACATATCCATGTGAACCATCTGCGTCCGGTTGTGTCCTACGGTACATTTTTTCCTCCTCTCGAGAAATTTTCCTCTTCTTCCTATCATATCCTCTGTTTATTTTTGTCGTTCTGTACCATAAAGTGGAGACAGGACGCAGTAGACGGGCTGCCTCAATAACCTTTCACATTTTTCTACACAGGAAACACATCCTGTGTTATATTTTTTGACGGGATCTTGGGACAAACTCTACATGGTGTGTATGATAAGCTCTAGAGGACAGCTCTACATGTTGTTCATGAGGGGGTGAATAGTGAAATTTTCATGTTATTTAATATGGGCTGTGGGATGGATATCTTCATGTTAATTATTATGTGTTCTAAGACAGAGTTCTACGTCATATTTATGATGAACTTTAGAGTGAAAGTCTTATTTTATTATGACGCATTCTAGAGAAAAGAGCTATACGTCAATATGATGTGCTCTGAGAAAGAGATGTACATGTAATAATGGACTCTAATGGGAGCTGTACATGCTCTTTATGAAAGAGTCTAACGTAGAGCTCTACATGTAATTTATGAAGGGCTGTAACATGAAGCGCCACGTGAAAATTATGATAGGCTCCAACGTGGAGCTCTGCATATTATTTATGGAGATCTATAAGGTGGAGCTTTATGTACTAGCTATGAGGAGCTGCTGACCAGAGCTGCTTAGTAAAGCTGCTGAGTAGAGCTGCTGAGTAGACCTCTGCATTGAGCAACACTGACCCGTAAATCAGTTTACAGTTTTAGACCATTCAATTTGAGAATCCTTATTGCTAGTAAGGGACTCTTAATCCAAGGAATTAGAGCTGCCCTTCTTGCTGAATTCAATGATAATTAGGTAAATAAATGATGATGATATTATTATTATTATTATTATTATTATTATTATTATTATTATTATTATTATTATCATTATTATTATTATTATAATTATTACTATTTAATCACAGTTTGGACAATAATGATAATACCAGCAATAACAATATCATCAACAACAACAACAACAACAACAACAATAATAAAAATAATGAAAAAACAACAATAACAATAAAAACAGTAATTCATAATATTAGACGAAACATTATTTGTATTTAGCTATGATGAATATACATCATAGTGCATCACAGGGAATGGGAGGTATATATGAAGCAATACACCATCACAGGGAATGGGTAGTATATATGAAACAATACACCATCACAGGGAATGGGTAGTATATATGAAACAATACACCATCACAGGGAATGGGTAGTATATACAAAGCAATTCACCATCACAGGGAATGGGTGGTATATTTGAAACAATACACCATTACAGGGAATGGGTGGTATATATGAAGCAATACACCATCACAGGGAATGGGTGGTATATATAAAGCAATTCACCATCACAGGGAATGGGTGGTATATATGAAGCAATACACCATCACAGGGAATGGGAGGTATATTTGAAACAATACACCATTACAGGGAATGGGTGGTATATATGAAGCAATACACCATCACAGGGAATGGGAGGTATATATGAAGCAATACACCATCACAGGGAATGGGAGGTATATATGAAGCAATACACCATCACAGGGAATGGGTAGTATATATGAAGCAATACACCATCACAGGGAATGGGTAGTATATATGAAACAATACACCATCACAGGGAATGGGTAGTATATACAAAGCAATTCACCATCACAGGGAATGGGTGGTATATTTGAAACAATACACCATTACAGGGAATGGGTGGTATATATGAAGCAATACACCCTCACAGGGAAATTTGGGGGGTATATATAAAGCAATTCACCATCACAGGGAATGGGTGGTATATATGAAGCAATACACCATCACAGGGAATGGGAGGTATATTTGAAACAATACACCATTACAGGGAATGGGTGGTATATATGAAGCAATACACCATCACAGGGAATGGGTAGTAATATAAAAACAATTCACCATACAGGGGAAAGGGAGGTATATTTGAAACAATACACCATTACAGGGAATGGGTGGTATATATGAAGCAATACACCATCACAGGGAATGGGTGGTATATATAAAGCAATTCACCATCACAGGGAATGGGTGGTATATATGAAGCAATACACCATCACAGGGAATGGGAGGTATATTTGAAACAATACACCATTACAGGGAATGGGTGGTATATATGAAGCAATACACCATCACAGGGAATGGGTAGTATATATAAAGCAATTCACCATCACAGGGAATGGGTGGTATATATAAAGCAATACATCATAACAAGGAATGGGTGGTATATATAAAGCAATACACCATCACAGGGAATGGGTGGTATAAATAAATCAATACCCCATCACAGGGAATGGGTAGTATATATGAAGCAATGCACCATCACAGCGAATGGTTGGGATATATGAAGCAATACACCATAACCCTAAGTCAGCAGATAGTGGAGCCAACAAGACTGGAGAACACACTGGACCTTATTTTCACAAATAATGAGGACCTGGTAAGGAATATAACAATATCAAAAACAACAAATTCTGATCACAATCTAATCGAAGTCTAGACTTGCATGCGCAGGAGTCCTGATCGGCAAGATGCATTCAGTTATGAGGGTACCTTTACCAAATTCTACTTCAACAACAAGATCATCATCTGGGATCGGGTAAACTATGCCCTAAATGAAACATGCTGGGAGGATATCCTAAATTACATGGACCCTAACCAATGCCTCGAAAAGATCACCCTCCTGGTAGCTGAAGTATGTTCAAGGTATATTCCTACAAAACAAAAGAAAAGAAGAAGTAAACTGGAGAGAGAGAGACACTCCCTCTACAGGAGAAGACGAAGAATCATTGAGCTTCTCAAGAATGCCAGATTATCTGATACACGGAAGGAAGTGCTAACCAGGGAAGTGGAAAATATTGAATTGAAGTTAAAGGACTCATACAGGATCCAGGAGAGACAAGAGGAGCTATAAGCGATTAATGAAATTGACAGAAATTCGAAATATTTCTTTTCATATGCCAAAAACAAGTCAAAACCACTTCTAGTATAGGGCCCCTGCTCAGACAAGACGGATCCTACACTGACGACAACAAAGAAATGAGCGAGATACTGAAACTACAGTGTGACTCAGTGTTCAGAGACCCACTAATCAGTTTAAAGGTAGAGGATCCAAACAATTTTTTCATGAATGAGCCTCAAAACCCTGCCAATGTAGGCCAGATTTATGACATAACTTTAACTCCACTAGACTTTGAGAAAGCCACGCGACATTTCCATGCACTCAGCCCCAGGCCCAGACTCGTGGAACTCGGTGTTCATTAAAAACTGCAAGAAACCCCTCTCACAGGCCCTAAGTATGCTATGGAGAAGGAGCTTAGACACAGGCGAGATTACACAGTCACTAAAAACAACAGATATATCCCCTACCAATGTGATCCTTAATTGACTACTTTCGCCACACAGTGGGCTTTTTCAAGTCACAAACAGAACACCTGGGGTGGAAGGAACGCGAGTATTTAAATCGGGTTTTCAAATCTGGGGTCAGGTGGAGAAGCGCTCTATAAAGTACCGAGGGGGTTATAAGTCTAAAATCTTGGTATTTGGAAAGATTTTAGCTCAAAACCCTTACTCGGTACACATCAGATGCAGCATTCTCCCCCTGACCTCTCATTTGAACCGACAAAATACTCGCGTTCCTTCCACCCAGAGTTCGTTTATGACTTAAAAACCCACGTGGGGGCAAAACGTAGTCAATAAAGGATCGCATATTTTTTATATTTCCATTGTGTGGGGTTTTTTATACCATTATTTCCAGAATATCCCCACTTTTCCTAAAGGTGCACAAAGCATACAAAAACTAAAGACCATTTTCTTTAACGTCCAACATCATAAAAATCTTTGAAAGATTTTTTAAAGCAGGGTAGCAAAAAACCTGGGCTCCCAAAAATTGCACAACCCAGGGGAACATGGTTTCAGAG